GGGGGTGGAAAAAGCGAGAGTAAACCACAAATGTCCTTGTGAGAGAGTGTATAGGTTGAGTTATTAGGATTATTAGGTGGTGAGAGATCCTGTAGCCGAGGGTTGAGATGGGAGGCTGGTGGGTGAGGAGGAGGGACAGAAACGGTTCTGGACTGGACCTATCCTCGGTCCTTTATACCTGCTCTCTCCCTTGGAGACCTGCAGACCCGGACGAGCCCCAAGACCCCTTTCGAACCATCTGGTGACGGAGATGCCTGGATTCCTGGTCGTCGATGTGGAGAGGTGCCATTGTCAAGGCACTCGGCTGGGGGTGTGGATGCTACGTGGTAGGCGTCCATGGATGCCCATTGAGCGGCACATAGCGTGCCGATCACCCTCGTGCTGGGTTTCCAGCGCCACTCTCCAGCGCTGCCGCCCCTAATAGCGGGTCGGTGTGACATCATGCAGGCACAATACGAGCCAGAATCTGGGGCTGGGGTGGGATTGAGTTTCACCAGCTTTTTTTTTGGTCCATTCTTTCGCATTCTTTAGTCACTCACTACTCAAGAACGTGGTCCCTGCCTCGCACTGCAACCTGCCATCCAGCACGGGTCTCCTCTGCATTACAGATCGGGGGGCCAACCAAAGCCAGCCGATGCAGGTTCGTGACAACTGAGAAAGGAGACGAGAACTCTGGCCTGGGCCGTCTCCTTGGTTGGCGAGTTAACACGGCCAAAGCACTGCTCACCGTTCGTTCTAGGAACCCAGCCAACCCTAGCATTGATACCTAGTATGCCCGCGGCCACTCCGGGCCCATCCCGACAGTGCACTCAGGGCCTGGCAGCACACCGTGTCGCGTCAAAGTTGGCCCCGAGGCTCGCCAGCACGTCCGTCGCCAGCTCGTCCTGCATGGTCCTGTTGATGGTACGGTTGTAGTCCACCGGCCCGTAGAGCGCCCAGCCGGAGAGTGGCTGGAGGGTGCTGTGGACGCCCACCGCGGACACTCCCTGCCTGCCCGTCCTCAGCAGCGCCTCGGCGTAGCCGGCCGGCGGGCCCTCGCTGACCGCCTTTCCCAGGGTGCCCGCCACGAGCGACGCCGGGAACCGCTCCATGCCACCGTGCTTGTGCATGATGAAGGGCACGTTGGCGTAGCCGACGGGCAGCCGCCTGGGGTCGACGCGCGGGTACGTGACCCCGTCGAGCGTGACCTTGCCCGCCCCGTCCCGCACGCTGCGCCCGACCGGCCGCCCCCGGTCGTCCCAGTAGTGGAAGCCCGTGATCCAGCCCCAGACGTGGTAAGGGGGATCCCCGCAGACGCCGAACTCGGTGGCCGCCACCATGTTGTTCCAGAACTTGACCGTCTCGGCCGAGTCGGGCTGCTCAAAGGTGCGCACGAAGCGGCGCAGGATCGGGCGCAGCCGCTCGCCGTACGCCGCCGCCTCGGCGCCAAAGTCGGCCAGGCGGTCCAGCTTGGCCAGCAGCGCCTCCCAGTCGGCGCGCTCGCCGAGCAGCGTGACCGACGGCAGGCCGCAGACGACGTCGCCCTCGAACTTGAAGTAGGCCTGCGTGAGGCCCATCATCAGCACGTTGGCCGTCATGCCGTCGGCGGCCGTCGTGGTCGTGAAGTTGGGCGCGATCCAGTCGCGGAGCCAGGGCGTCTTGACCCGCGCCTGGATCTCGTCCTGGAACCGGATCAGCACGTCGGCCCACGTGCAGCAGGCCTGCACGAACACCACCTCCTGCCCTTGGTGCGCCACGAACAGGTCCCGGACGGCCTCGGCGTGCGCGTTCATGAAGAAGTTCATCTGCGTCAGGATCGTGAACCACACCTCGTCCGGCCGCACCACGAGGTGCAGGTGCTGGCCCCACGCCTCGATGGCGCCCCGCACGAAGCTGTCCGACGACGGCCGGTAGCCGCCGCCGCTGCCGTCCGACGGCGACGACCCGAAGGCGACTTGGTCGTGCGACGACAGGATGATGTCGGCCGTCACGTTGTTGAAGTCGTTCTGCGCGCTCATCCGGAAGTACTCGTCCCTGCTCAGCGCCATGCCCGCCCCCCTGTACGGCTTGGGCTCGCCGCCGGGGAGCACCGTGATGCTGGCCGCGACGGCCGCCGTGTACAGTCCGAGGGCCGACAGGCCAGCGAGAGAGCTGCTCTTCATGCTGGTGAACGTAGTCTCTAGGGAGCTGGTAGGCAGTTCAGGTGATACTAGTGATCAGTATTTAAAGGCGCTACGTAGCCATCCACAAACTCGCCAGGATACTCACACATCGGGTATGCGACCATCCTTATACTTGGTAGACTTGGAAAAATTCTAACGCCGAGGTGCGGTGTGCGGCATCAAGGGAGCACAGAAAGACAGTGCAATTATCCCCCATTCCTGGCAACGCCGATCGTACGCTCTCTTCTTCTCCCATCATTGTCCATCGTTCCACAGTACCCTAAGCCACTGCAGTGTCCGTATTAGCCGAACCCAGGAAAGCCTCGTCTTGGTGCTGCCGGTGCCCACGCCAAGCCAAGAATTATTGCACAAACACAATATCTCGCAATTACAATCCTCGTTTTCCCGGGGAGATGGCATCCTGAGAAGTTATTTTTAGGCCGGGCGCCATTTGGATATATTGCCGCAGTCCTGTATCTTGCTGCTGCCGCCGATCCTACCCAATTTTGCAACACCTTTGGGAATGCAAGCCGGACGCGCAAGTTCCAGAACCCCTCACCTTGGCGTTTGGATTCCATCATTGCCTGTCTCCTTGTCTTTGGCAGCCGAAAACATAAATTCATACGGGCACCTATTACGAGACGGCAGTCTCGCTTGTGAGGCCGCCGAGCTTACCGTCTGGCTCTCGCACTACAAGTCGGAACAGTGCGTGATGTCATAGGGCATGTATGCCCCAGAATGTACAAGAGAACCACAGAGTCCTACATCGAGGTCCGCTGGGCCTGGTCGGCGCCGCCGCTGAGGGTGCCATGTCTGACTTGTGCGCTGCTCTGGGCCACGGCGTGAGGGGGGAGCCCGGGTTTGTAGGGCGGTAATGGCCGTATCTGGAATTCATCCACGCTGGCGTTGACCGCATGCAAGCTCACTGGAGCCGGAGAATGCGTGGCGGAGGAGCTGCAGGGCATGTCGGCCCTCGAAAAGCAGCGAGTATTTGCGGGCATGGCCACAGTCGGGCCCATCCACGGCGGCGGAGGGAAGGACGAGGTGCAGGTGTGAAAGTTGGGGTGATGTGCAGGGGAAAATTGGAAGGTATCATAGTTGGGCATATTGAGGTAGGCACCGAGTTGCTTCAAACTCGAAGGTATAAAAATGCTTCACTACCTGCAACTGTACGTGGAAGAATCATTATATACCTGCTCGTGTATAAAAATGTACCAGAGTCCGGGCCTCGAGCTCGTCAGGAGCGGCAAGCGAACCATCTGCCTCGTAGTCCCGTTTCGGGCGATGCGAAGCTCGGTCTAATTGTGATAGGCCCATGAGTAGTGGAGGTGACTAAATACTGTCGTGACGAGTGAACTTTCTTACCTCCGGCGTCTCCTTTTGGTGGTCCTAGTGGGACGCGTAGTGCGTCCCGGTGCACCACACACATCGTTCTTTCTCAGAGAATCATTCCTTCTCAGAGAACTACCGGCCTGTCCAACTCAGCGACTCCAAACCATGGGAAAAGGGGGAACCGAAGCCTCTTGCGCCCATCGAGATGATTGTGTGCACTGCCATCCTTCTCGAGTTCGTAACCGGTATCCTGTTCGGCTCGAGCCTCGTCGCCCGGGCTGGAGACATCGACTAGTTTTGGATACCGCTCCGGGGTTCCGTTCATCTCGATAGTGCTTACTCGAGACGCGATGGGCGAGCAAGTGACCGAAAACAACTCGTTCCTGCCAGCCGGGGGAGAGTGATCGCCCACGTCGGTCTCGAAATCGTCGTCGCCGCTCTCCTCGCCCTTGGAGATATCGTTCTGCCGCAGGAGGCTGTGGATGGCCAGCTTTTGCCGGGTGCGCTCGGCCCATGACATGTGCTGCTCGGGGTGCTTGGTCCCGGCTTTGGTGTCAGGTATCTGGCTGTCTTCTTTTTCCGGTAACCTCGCACAGTTCCGCAGGGCGCTCTGGAAGTTCTCGTCGTTATGGGGAAGCGTGGGAGATGGGGTAAGAAGAGATGATGCCCGATCAGACACCATCCTTGCAATGTCGTCAATTATGGGCTTGACCAGGGGAGACGAGGGAAACAGCCTCCTGAGGGCAGCCAAGGTGAGCTCCGCCTGCTTGAGCGCAGCGTCGGGATCCGCATTTGCGTAGTTGGCGGGACTGTGCTGGTTCGGTCCGCAAATATCTAGCGTGAGACGGATGGCTTCGTACGCGCAAAGCGCCGTGTCGTATTCGAGAAGGGGTGGTGATGTGCTGAGCTGATACAGAGTCGATAGAATCCCAGTGATTGCTAGGGCATGTTCGAGGCAGAGACGCGCGGCACTGGACTTGTGGTGCTGATCGAGCCGAGCCAGAGCCGGAACGGGTACGGCTTGCGAGTAGCCGGCCAAGACGAGCCTGTGGAGGTCGCAATGGCATTGGTGCCATGAGAGGCTGAATGCAATATGACGAGAAAGCCATGGGTCCTCTAGTAGTGCGGATATCCTAGAGGAAGTCAGAGCTGGCGGCATCGGCATCTGTGATGCAATTTCGGCTAGCTGGTCGCTGAGCTCTTTTGTGCGACTAGCCAGCTTTTGGGGCTCGCCGGCGAGGCCAGATATCCTCCTGGTCAACCTCATGATTTCCTTTCGGACAGTCTCCAGCCTCACGAAAAGACTGTATGTGCCTAGATCGTCCGTTTCTGGCGCGGTCCGGGCACCCGGAGAGGCCGGCTGGGAATCACTGTTAAATGTCTTCTCGTAGCTGGGAGGCTGTATGTTGATGTTGTCCAGAGGAAAGAGCTCGAACTCTGTCAGACCGAGAGAGAAGTATCGATCTATCAGTCTCAGCGACCACATGGTCCGCCTGCGTGTCTCCTGCGAGACAAAGCCCAGTTCGGGTCTCTCGTGGCTCAAGCCGATGGTGGTGGCTGCCCGCGACGCCAGGGACGAGAACATGAAGGCCTTGTGGAAGCTCCCGGTCTCCATGAGGTAGTTGATGACCAGCAGCAGGGCCTGGAGGCGCGGCAGGGAGGGTGCCTCGAAGTGTTGCCAGGTGAGCTGCTCTGCCATGCGTACCCAGACGCCGCTGTCCTCGCGCCGGCTCCGCAGCCCATGATTCGAGTGGAGCGCAGCTATGCCGCAGATGGCAAAGGCGAGAGCTTTTTCCAACCGCCCCTGTCTGGCTTGTTCCTTTGTCGAGGCCGGGTGCAAGAATGAAAAGCAAGGGACAGGGTAGCTGCGGGCGAAAAAGCGGTCAACCAGATGGGGGATATGCTGGTTCAGGAGAGGAGAGTCACTATAGGGGAGGGGACGTGGTAAGCTGCTGCCAATTCGTATCAAAAGAAATTCTGGGGAACTGGATCTGTAGACAAACTTCTCGATAAGGGAGTCCGGTGCTGGGCTGTCAGCCCCTTCATGGGACGAAGTCGAGGCAGGCGTCGAAACATGAACGCTTGGCCTCCTGGCAGACACAATACCGATGGTCTGTGCAGACCCCGGGGCAGCCTGTCTCTTGAGGGTAGGATACTGGCAGGCTATACCGCGACGTTCACAGGTGTTGCAGTGCGGCAGTGTTCCGGAGCAGCGGACTTTCATCTTCCTGCAGGCGGTGCAAGCCCTGCTCCCTCGCCGGCGCTTGGGGCGGAGCTGGACAACAAGCTCCTCGGTCGAGTCCTCCTGCAGGTCCAGGTCGGCGACTGTCGTCGCCGCGAGGGAGCAGGTGAAGTTCAGGCGCAGGCAGTTGCCGCAGCCGTCCTGGCGGCCGTCGCAGCGGACCTAGAGAACAGCGTCAGTCGAGGCGCCAGTCACGAGGTGGACAGTCGGGACGGGCCAACCTTGCGCAAACGGCATTGCCGGCATGTCGTCCTTGTAGGCCCCGAGGACGGGAAGCACGTAGTGTATTGATCCAGATCCATTTCTGCCAGATCGCTGGCCGCACCGAGAGAATTTGGCAAGGCTCGTGGGGGGGGCCTCTACTAGATACTAGATGGGTCGGGGGAGAACAGGGTTCTCACCTGCGGCTCGAGATAAGAGACGATAGCACGAAGTTTACGGGCAATTCCACAGGCCGAGACGTACGTTCAAGAGATAAAGCAAGGCAAGGAGAAGAAGCCGAGACAGATCCGGTCCGGCTCTGCAAAGAATATCGTCAGGCCTGTCATTGCTGCCCGTGCTGCTAACCACCTGTTCTGTCGACAAGACGGGACAAAAACAGACGGACAAGCACATCTCGACGACGGGCAAGCCAGGACGCAACGCCGGCCACCCTCCCAAGACGGGCAAGCCAAGGCCGGGGGGCAATGATGGGATTCATGCTGCAATAAGCGTGTGGATGGTGTGCTCGCGCGACACCACCCCCACCGCCCCTCGGCACGCGAGTCCAGGCTTGTCTGACGTGCTGCGTTGACCAATACATGGGGGTGGGGAGGGGGAAGCCCTGTCGCGGGACTGGCAGGGTCAAGGGCTGTTATCATTGCCCACACAACTCTCCGCAGCTGGCAGATCGCCCGCGCGCGGGGGGGAGACGCACTCGGCAGCCGGTGCAGACCCGAATATGTGATGGCGACTGGGGTTCCAGTATACTCTCTCGTCCTGCAAGATAGCGGAAAGCGGTCGTGATCAGCAGGGCGGCCAATCAGGGGAAGTGGCGGGGGTCGAAAATGGGCGATTGTGACGCATGCGCTCGATGGTCGGATTTTGGCGCATCCAGCACGAGTCTTTGTGTTCCTTGGCTCGGGCTTGCGCTTCTTATCGCGCCCGACTGGGCTCTGCCAAGGCTGGGCCCCGTGATAGGCATGGACGGTGACGCGATCATGGGTCAATGATGGGAGGATGGCTCGATGGGAACAGAGCGTGCGAGATAGAGATTGAGCTTTAGCTTTGACTCGGGTCAGTCTGTCCAACCAATCCCAGCAGCTACCAGGGGACAATATTGGCCCCCCGCACTCGATCCTATTGGACGGATAGCACCACCTAATCTTATCAACCCAATCCATGTCCCTCGAGCTCTTTTTCTGTCCACTCCCAGAGCTTCTTGCCCAGTTCTAGACTCCTGCTTGATGGACTCCGGATCCTGCCAAGCATGTTGCCGGGGGTGTAATACTCGCCGTTGGCCAGCTCCGATTTGGGCGCCGTCGCCGCCCAGATCTGCGTCCTGGCCCCGACCTCGACCGTGGTCCCGAGGACCGAGGCGTAGAGGTGCAGCAGCCCAAGCACCACGCCGGCGTTGTCGCTCTCGAAGATGTCTGTTCCCACGATGCCCGGGTACACAAGAAACAGATGTGAGCTGTGGGTACCGCCGCGCCATCTCGGCCGCGTAAACGAGGTTCGCCCTGGGGACGCCAGTCAGCCAAAGAGATCGAGCATGCCTTTGTGTTAGAGAACTAGAACAGGGAGCATACATCTTACTCTGCCCGTATCGCTGCACCGGGTACAGCGAGGCCTCGTCGCTCTTGAGCGTCTCCCACACGATGGAGCCCCGGACGGGAACGTGGTGCGCGATGGAGCTGAGGCTGATGACCCGCACGTCCCCGTCGTCCCCAGGCCGCTCGGTGGTCTCGAGCAGCCGCAGCAGCAGCAGCTTGAAGAGCAGCGCGTGGCCCACGTGGTTGACCCCCCACTGCATCTCGTACCCTTGCGCCGTCGTCGACACCGGCCCGCCAAGTATCCCGGCGTTGAGCATTAGTATGTCGATCCGGTCTATCGATGCCAGGAGTACCTGCGCTGCTGCTTTGATCGAGTCGAACGAGGCGAGGTCCAGCTCCAAGAACCTCACCAGGGGTCTGCTGCTGTCCACCTCTGCCAGCTTCTGTATCTCTGCCACGGCCTCCTCGCCTTTGACTTTGTTGCGCGATGCTATCCACTGAGCCTTGCGCGTGCGTTAGTCATCTCCCCAGCCGAAGGGAGACGGTACGTACAATCTCGGCAGGGCCCTTCTTGGCCAGTTCTATCGCAGATTTATGTAGCATTTGATGGCCGCGCTGCCCGATCAAGACGCTCGTATCAAGCTGAAAGCTGAGGCCCAGCCTTGCGAGATACTGCTGAACATTCCTCGCACACCCACACACATCACCCGGTGTCGCAAGCCCCACCACCCGCGAGTGTTTTAGGCTTGAGTTTCGGTCGGTTTGGATTCCGATTTGATGCAGCCGATAACCTATCCACCGGCGCTCCATGAACAAAGGAGAAGAAAAGCCAGATATGCAATCCAAAAGCTCCCCGAGCCTCCTCCCACAGGCTCGATCGGCACACACATTAAAAACGCTGGTAGTACTACTCCCCTACTCACGCCTCCTCGGGCCAGACGTTGTACCCAAATGTGTCCTTCATGTTGACGAACCTGGTCGGCTTGCGGCCCCGCGCCACCTTCCACACGTCCCCGTAGTCGGCGTCCGAGAGCGCGGGCACCTCGAGGTTGGACGCGATGCGAGCCGGGGTGCTGCTCTTGGGCAGCACGACGTAGCCGCGGCGGACGCCCCAGCCGAGCAACAGCTGGGCGAGCGACAGGCCGCTGCGGCGCGCGATGTCGTTGAGCGCCGGGTCGTCGCGCACGCGCTCGCCCGTCGTCGGCACCTGGTCCTGCGACCCGAGCGGCGAGTAGGCCGCGGGCAGGACGCCGCTCGCCTGGCAGAAGGCGACCAGCTCCTCGTTGGGCAGGTACGGGTGGATCTCGACCTGGTTGACGGCCGGCGGGATCTCGGCGACCGCCAGCAGCCGGCGCAGCCCGGCCACCGTCCAGTTGGACACGCCGATGGCGCGCGCCTTGCCGCTCCGCTGCAGCCGCTCCATGGCCCGCCACGTCGGCTCCGGGTCCTCGGTCAGGGCCCTGTCGATGACGTACTTGCCGTCCGGGCCGAGCCGCGGCTGGTGGTGCTCGTCGCGCTCGGCCGCGACGGGCCAGTGCACCAGGAACAGGTCCACGTAGTCGAGCCCGAGCGCGTCGAGCGAGCTCTGCAGCGACCAGGCCACGTCCTCGGGCGCGTGCAGGTGGTTCCACACCTTTGTGCACACGAACAGGTCCGATCGCGACACCGACGTGTTCTCGGCCAGGAAGTCGCGGATCGCCCGCCCGATCTCGGCCTCGTTCTGGTAGAACCAGGCACAGTCGAGGTGCCTGTAACCCGCCTCGAGCGCCGCCTTGCTGGCCCGGTAGGAGCCGTCGGGCGACGACTCTGACGGCGCAAAGGTCCCGAACCCGACGGCGGGTATCTCAACGCCGTTGTTCAGCTTGAACTTCTTGTTGGATAGAGAAGCCGGCATTTTTGCGGTTTCTTGGTGATTTTGCCGGTATTCCGGGTATTTCGCTTGATTTTAGGGGGATATTTCTAGTGAGCTGTTTTCTGCTGGAGACGGCGAGGGAAACAACAAAGCGAACGGCATTGGTGTTCTCCAAGAAGAAAGCTGAGGGAAGGCTGATGTCATGAATGCCGATTTACACGGACGGCAGATGGTTGGACAAAACCAGGGTGCCCACCATGTTGGGTAGATGATAAAGACATGATGGCCTCCCTGACATCATGGTAGCAAAACCCTCTGCAGACTTTTCAGGGTCTTCATCGACCACCCTGGAAGGCTTTCCAGGGCTCGCGGCTCCACGGCGATGGAGAATCCTATGGAGGCTGATGATGCTATGATGGACAAGCACCGTGCCAAACCAGATGTGGCGACGAGAGCTTTTTTTCGCCAGGGCTGACTCGGATAGCGCCAAGCCAAGGCCACAGCACCAAGGCGATCGGGCCGTTGGGACATGCAGGGAGCAGCTTGGCGGCTGAGGGGTTAGCAGTGCATGATGGAAAATGAGAAGGATAAAAGAAAAGAAGAGAAAAAGTTGCCATGACATCCACGCGGAGGGGTGCTGTCGCAATTCGGATGATGTCATGGTGCCAGAGCGCTTGACTGGCATAAACACAGTACGGAGTCGAATACCCGCTGTCTCTTTAGTGCTCTTTTTCTCTTTTTATGAAGCCACCGGACAGTGCAGGCCGGGCAGGCACTTTGCCAGGGCGCTGTCATGTTCGCTGGCCCGCCGTGGGTCCGTGAGCCGCAAAGGCGGGCCCGGTTAGGGTGGGGGCTACTTGCGATAATGCGCGCCGGGCCTGCGTCGACTTACACGGAGCATTGGCACCGTCTCTTGCCAGAGAGAAGAGAGCCAAGGGATCCAAGGAGGGTCCCTTTCGGTAGGACCAAGGCAAGGGTGGGCTTGAATGTTGGCGGCTTGGAAGCTTGCCGCGTCTGCCCTGTGGATTCCCTTTTTTTTTTTTTTGCATACAGTAGGTGCATACCAGGCGACAACAGATACGGCCCCAGCTGGAAGGAGGCGTGAGCTGCTGAGTGGACGGCGAAGGGTCCTGATGTCGGCCCGGCGTCTTGCATACCAGGAAGTCGGTTTCAAGAGCACCCGCAACTTTCTCGCCCGCCCCAGTCTTTTGTATGGAACTCGGTGACGGTGTGGCATGGTCGATTCGATGACGTTTGATCCGGCACTTGGAGACCCTTGTTCTTCACATCGAGAGACGGGCGATAAGGCACATCGAAGCCACTGGTGCTTTGCGAGATACCACAGTGCCGCGACATCCGACGACAGCGAGGTGGGCGGAGCAGTAGGTGGAGAGATAGCGGACAGAGGTGCGCAGGGGAAGATAACTTATCCACGAAACGTCTGGCTGTCGAGAACCCTGACGTCGAGGCAGGCTTCGGTGAGCTAGAAGTGCGGTAGGTATTTAAAAGCTGTCGTCGCCCTTTCAGGTGTGATGGGATAATCCCTTCCTTATCTCTCCCTCTCTTTATCATTAGCTGAAGAGAAAAAAAGAATAGGGCAAAGTAGCTGAATCATCGAGACTAGCCTTCGCCACCATACCCAGCTCCTTCTTGTTTTGTCACTATACCCAGTTCCTTCTTATTTTTCCCTCTTCTCGCCCATCATGCCCATGTTCACAGAGGAAGACCTCGGCACGCGGTCGGCGCCCCTCAGCCCACCCACCAAGAGGCCCGGAAGCCGGCGGATGGCCAGCTGGGCCGACCAAATGTCGCCGGGCTCGACCGTCCCCATCCCGAGCCGCGAGTCCATCTCGCACGCCGCCGACGGCGACGCCGAGCCCATCGAGGTGCCGGCGTCGCGGCCGTCCGTGTCCGAGGTGGACAAGTACATGCACAACCTGTCCATGTCGCCGTCGATGCGGGACCGGCGCGGCTCGCGCAACTCGTTCGGCACCTCGCTCCCCATCCCGCGCGTGCACCGCCAGTCGCGCCTGTCGTCGGTCCACCACCCTAGCGTCGACGAGGACGGCGCGGACGGCAGCCCGGCGCGGCCCTCGATGCCGGTGCTGCAGTCGTCACGCGCCCTCATCACGTCGCAGATCCAGACCGTGGCGGCCAACAAGGTCAGGCGGGCCAAGAACATGGCCTTCGCCTTCGACATCGACGGCGTGCTCGTGCACGGCGACCGGCTGATCCCCGAGGGCCGCCGCGTGCTCCAGATCCTCAACGGCGACAACGAGCTCGGCATGCCCATCCCGCACATCTTCCTGACCAACGGGTCCGGCAAGCCCGAGCGGGCCCGGTGCGACCAGCTGTCCAGGATCCTCGGCAGCAAGGTCGACACGGCCCAGTTCATCCAGAGCCACACGCCCATGTCGGCCCTGGCCGCCTACTACGGCACCGTCCTCGTCGTCGGCGGCGAGGGCACCAAATGCCGCGACGTGGGCGAACTGTACGGCTTCAAGGACATCGTCGTGCCCAACGACATCGTCGCCTGGGACCCGAGCATCGCGCCCTACCGCGTCTTCACTGAGGAGGAGCGCAAGGCCGCCCGCCCCAGAGACTTCACCAAGACCAACATCGAAGCCATCCTGGTCTTCTCCGACTCGCGCGACTACGCCACCGACATGCAGATAATCGTCGACCTCTTGCGCGCCGAGGACGGCAGGCTCGGCACCCTGTGCAAGGACGACCCCGTCTCCCACCGCATCCCCATCTACTTCTCCCAGGGCGACCTGCTCTGCCCGACCGAGTACCCGACCCCCCGGATGAGCCAGGGTGCCTTCCGGATTGGCCTCGAGGCCATGTACAAGGCTCTGGTAAGTTGTTGCTTGGTTGCTCATATCCTTCCCTTCTCTCCTTGAAACAAATGTGCTGACGCCGGCAACTCGTATCACAGACCGGAGTCGACCTGGAGCGCACCGTGTATGGCAAGCCGGAGCTCGCGACGTACAAGTACGCGGACGAGGTCCTGACCGAGTGGATGGGTGAGCTGTACGGCTCCCCCAGCGAGGAGAGGCTGCCCGAGAACATCTACATGATCGGCGACAACCCGGCCAGCGACATCGTGGGCGGCAACATGTACGGGTGGAACACGTGCCTCGTCCGCACCGGCGTGTTCCAGGGCGGCGACAACGACGAGGAGAACCCGGCCAACTTTGGTGTCTTCCCCAACGTGCTAGAGGCCGTCCAGACCGCACTGAGGAAGGAGCTCGGCGACGATTTCGGCATGAAGTTCGACGAGCACAGCGTCAACCCCGTCCTCAAAGGCACGGCGGACTGTGCGGCGGTCGAGATATAGTGGCTTGTGAACGACAGCGAGTTTTGATTTGCTTCAAACCAGGAGTTCGAGATATCCGAAACATTTTGATTGCATCCAGGGATTTATAGACATATCAAGGCCTCTGGAGAGGCGCCAGCATCAGCGAGTGTCACGTTTTACAGTTTGTTATAGAACAGAATAGACTAGATTGATGATTGCGTACCGTTCCTTGATATTATCGCTACACCGGTGCTATGTGAATAGTGAATATTAGTGCCCTGGAAAGTTGTTGGGCGATGATGGATCCCTGAGGGTGGTCGCTCGCGAGTGAGAGCCTCTTGCGAATAATACTGTCAAGTGGCGTAATAGATATCAGACTTGGATGAGCAAGCATCGACCTCAACGGCCTGGTTGGCTTCGACTTGAAGCGTGCGATGCGCTTGTGGTGAGACGGAGAATCTTTGGCTTCTCAAGGTGGAGCCCATAGTCCTGCCTTGGCTCCCCGTCGGTGATGTTGTTTGGCAGCCGAACGGTTGCTCTGCCAGTGCCGGAGGTGGTCGGACATGCGGTGACGTGGGTGGTTTGTCAGAATGACCCAGCGGCTCGAGGCTATAGCTTCGCCTTTGGTTGGTTGCCAGCCTCTTCACGAAGCGTTTCGGCGATAGACTCTCGTATCCTCCGCGCGAGATCCACCGCCTCGTCGTCGTCGAGCTCGGAACGGGTACCGCGACCAAACATTGTGAAGCGGTCGCTCCACTTGCCCTGCTCTCTGAGCTCCGGGCGCGGGATGATGTGGAAATGCAGGTGAGGCACCACCTGGGCGGCGGCGGCGCCGTTGTTCTGGACGACATTCCAGTCCGACACGCCGGTGGCGCGCACCACGGCCTCGGAGAGGATGCGGACGAAGAAGCCTAGCTCGCGGGACTCCTCTGCCGTCGCCGCCGTCAGCTTAGGCCGGTGCTCGCGCGGACACAGCAGTATGTGGCCGCGCGACAGTGGCATGATGTCTAGGAACGCGACGAGCAGCGGCGTCGACAGCAGGACGAAGGTCGCTGGGTCCGGGTTTGTCCTCTCCGGCCTGAGCGAGTCGGCCGAGGGCTCGGGCGGGCTCAGCGGGTCGAAGGCTGGGTAGCTCGCCGAGATGTTGCAGAAGGGGCAGCTCTCCCCTGCTGGGGGCTCGCCCTCGCCGAAAGCCATGTTCCGTCTTGGCCAGTGACGGCGGTCTTGGGTTGCGCGCCCTGATGAGGAGAACTGCTGTGTGCCCGCGCGTGCTCACGAATCTGTGGCCAAGCAGCTCTGTGGAGCTGGTGTGCTGCAGTTGACACTGAGCTTGCGGCCCGCGGTTTGCCCTGTGATTTGGCGAGTCCAGCGACTACTTATCTTTGCCTCGGCGATCTGTACGCGGGACGGGGGGAGGCCGACGGATGCCAATTGAATGGGCCGAGGCACGCCGCCACGGACGCGTCTTTTGAGACAACTAGGGTTAGGGTTGGAAATTGCGGCTGCACTGAATAAGAACGAGCGTAGAGTATCCAGTTATGAGAGAAGACGCGTTTGGCAAGCTTCGTGTGTTAATTGACTATCCAGTGCCTCGCGTTTCTCAGTGAGGGTGCATTGATCAACATCGTGAGTCTAGGAAAAGAGTCCGTCCAGTCGCCGTTTCGGGCCACCGTCTCAAAACGCCTTCCCGTCTTGGAGGTTCCGCCAACGGCGAATCAGATAACGTAATCAATCGGAGATGGGAAGTGGGGCCAAACAAGACTTCCATGATCCCTGTCGCGCCGCCAAATTCTTTGCTCAACTTCGATTCCATTCTGCGTGATCGAGCCCCCCGCCGACTTTCCACCACCACCACACTCGCTCGCACGCGCATCGCCAGCTCGAAATACAGACCCCTGATATCTACGCACACCGACGCAACAGTTACAGCGAAAGCGAAAAAATGTCCCGCGAGGAGTACCAGATCCCGACCGCGCCCTCGGGCACGCACCAGGGCGGCGGCGGCATGGGCGGCGGCGGCGGCGGCTCGCTGGCGACCCAGGGCGCCCCCCATCCTCTACAGCTGCGGCGACTGCGGCTACAAGTTTGAGCTCAAGCGTGCCGACGCCATCCGCTGCACCGAGTGCGGCTGCCGTGTGCTATACAAGAACCGCACGAACCGGTGAGTTTTGCGCCTCGCCGCGACCTGCCTGCTTTCTGGGGGAGACAGACACGGGCGTTGGAAGAGTCATTCTCCGATCCTTCGCCCGACCTTTTCGAATGATGAGATACACGCATTCACAGACCTGTTCTGAAACCCAATGTGGACGACATGCTTTACATCTCCTGACCTTTTTGCCTAATCACTTTGCACTTTGATATTCATGGAATGTTGGACTTGGGAATGCGCATACACTAACATTTATAACCCTCCCAGTATGATCGAGTTTGAGGCGCGATGAGCTCCGGTGTCTGGGTACTCGATATTCCGGCGAGGCAATCCGAAGGGTTCGATGAGGACAAAGGAACAGCCAGAGGGCAATATTCTCCAACCTTTTACCAACCGGCGCTGCTTCGCAAAGCATCCTCTGGGTGATGGCACGCGCGGACCCGTGTGGCGAGGGCGTCTCGCGTAGACTTTCGTAATGAATCTGGTCAAGGAGTTTGGAGTTCACGGGGAAGGATGAAAGAGATTTCTGGTTACGTCAGTGAAAATTCATATCCATTCTCTAATTATCCGATTTTGGTATCACATGGGAATACGACTATGAAAAAAAGCCCCAGACAAACGCCGCTGTATGCCACCATCTTCACAAGATGCCATTTTCCCCTGCCAGACACGCCGTCAAAACCATCAAGATCCGTACCGCTAGGATCAATACGCGCTGAAATCTTGAAATCCCTTGTTCTTATCACTGGTGCCGCAGGTAGTTCGCAAAGCTGATGTCCTGGTTCTTTGCCGCCAAGGCATCGTTCACGGCAGCGTCGTAGCGTGCCTGGAGGCCGTCGTTATCCATCTCATCATCCTCGGCCGAGTCGTCCGAGTCGATGGCGTCGACCCTCTTGCCCAGCTCCGCGATGGCCGGATCTTCCGGCTCCTCCTCCCGCTCTTTGCCCTTGGCGGCAGCGGCCGCCTTCCTGTCTCCAGCAAAGGACATGCCCTTCATCATCTTCTCAAGCTCCTGCTCGCGAATAAGCTTCTTGGCTTCCTCGCGCTCCTCGCGACGTCGCTCCAGCTCAGGCTGGTAGTCGCGGCGGAACTCTTCGGCTTTGGTGGCGACGGCGGCGAAGAAATCGTCGGTTCCAGCGCCTGTCATGGAGCTGACACCGACGACGCTGAGATGTGCGTAGAATTCCTCAAGCATCATGCTCATGCTGTTGAGAAGGCTGCTCATGTACCCGCTGCCGCCGGCTCCAGTCTCGCCCTCTGCGGAGCCAAAAGCGTTACTCTCCTCATCCTTGCGCAGAGCGGCCTGGAAGGCCTCGAAATCGGTCATCCACTCCTGGGCGAAGGAGGCATCGGCAACGTCGGTCTTGTTGAAAACGAGGATCATGGGAAGCTTGGTCTTGTACAGGATACTGCAGGCGTAGAGCATGTTGCTCATAAAGGTGCTCGTCGAACGGGTACGCGGGGTGTCGACGATGTAGGCGATGACGGTGGGGAAGGACGAGGCGAGCGACTCGAGGAGGATGGTGCCACTGGCGGACCAGACAAAGGCCTCGATCTGGCCGGGAGTGTCGACCAGGATGTGGTTGATAGGCTTGCGATCGGCGTTTTCCTCGTTCCTCGCCGTGCGCTTCTCGAGCAGGTCGATGACCTGGTCGACCTTGGTGGCGAAGAGGTTGAGCGCTGTGAGGATGCCGCCGTTGGGGCCGAGATTGTACTGCCTCATGACCTCCTTGTAGTTGACCGAGTCGCGGATGTCGATGTTGCTGTCGAACGGCACGTTGAGCACAGCCGGGTCGAGGTTGATGACGTAGGGGGGGTCCTTCTTTCCGTGGAGGTGCGCGTTTATGCGCTGCATGAAGGTGGTCTTTCCGGATCCTGTCGCAGGAGGAGCACGCCATCAGTACAAACCACATCCGACAACTTACGGCCTCAACGTTGGACGGCGAGGTAGGGCAGGGGCTGGAACCAACCGGCCATGCCAACGCATACCACAGCGACCGGCTTGTCTGCCTGGCTAGGAGCCGCTGAAGTCGCTTCTGGCGCCATGATTGTGAATAGTATACCGGCGCGGCCCTAACAGACAAGAGGCAAAACAGAACCAGGGCTGCGATGCCTGGTAGAGCACAGTTGCCGTCGCGGTTGAACAGCCAGAGCGGGGTAGCGCGGGATGGAATTTTGTTTGCGCAACGGCTGGGATTTGGAGCCGGATGGCGGCGCGCACGTTGTTTCAGCCCGCAGCGCCCCGCAGATACAGAAGCTTGCAGTGGAGCTCCCTCCTGGACTGGCGGCATCATGAGCGGAGCTGCTAACAGGGGTCTGTCGACTGCAAGTTTTCAATCCCTGACATCACGCCACGAACAACGCGAGCCAAACCACTTCAGTCACAGAGTCCGTGTGCAGTCTTGTCCGAAGAATTGATGTTTGGATACTGAAAGAACAAGCATCTTCCGAACCGCGGTTATCGCGCTCCGCAGCTTTTGGCCGCCATGGATGGACTAGACGAGTTCGAGAAGCAGCTGGCCGCTGACAGGGCCGAGAGAGAGCGCGACCAAGAACGCGCTGATCGAAAGGAGAAGCGTCGCCATCACGAGCATCGTCGCGACAGGTCATCCGACAGGAAGCACGACCGCGAGAGACGCCGGGAAACAGATGGGGACCGCGACGGCAATGGGGAAAGATCAAGCCGCCGCGACCACGACCGCGATCATGCTCACGACCACCATCGTCACAAGCATCGGCGCCATCACTCCCGAGATCGCGAGGACGAAGCTCATCGGAGTAAACGCTCTCGCCACGGGCGCGGGGACGAGGCCCAGGAGGAAGGAAGTTCGAGGCACAGGCATCGACACAGACATGAGTCTCCCAGTCGACGGCATCATGACCGTGACGGTGGCTCAGACGAGCCCGAGTTCATGAAATCGCACGACCCCAAGGAGGACCTCCCTCTCCCCGACGAAGAGACACCCTCGGCGGAGGCGCCACCCGTCAGGGACTCGTGGATGACAGCACCTTCTGCCCTAGATGTCGACTACATGCACCGGCCACGACCTGACAAGCCGGTAGAAAAACCGAAGCCAGAGCAACGGACTATCTCCCAACGCGAGCTCAACGGTGGCGTTCTCGCCGAGCTAAACAGTGGCAAAACCTGGGCCGAGATCGATGTGCCCAACCAAAATAATGTTGGATATACCTTTGGAGACGAAGGTTCGCAATGGCGCTTGACCAAGCTGAAAGGCGTCTATGACACTGCCAAGCGCACCGGCAAGGCCATCGATGAGGTTGGCGCCGAGGTTTTTGGAAGCCTTCGGGAGTTCGACAACACGCGAGAAGAGAGAATAGAGATGGACAGGAGAAAAACGTACGGGAAGGGGTACATGGGCAAGAAAACCCCTACTGGCGAGCTCTACCGCGAGCGAAAGGAAATGGAAGCCACAAACCAGCCACAACACATTTCCGCCCAGGATTCACCACCGGCGGAACAGGGCGCCGTGATGGAGCAACCGCCGGTCGCGCGACTAGACCAGACGGCCCTGAACAGAATGCGCGCGACCATGATGAAGGCGAAGCTGCGCAGGGCGCCCGATGCCGAGAAGCTGGAGGCCGAATACAATGCGGCAATGGCGTCCTTCAAATCAGGTGCCAGCAACGAACAGGCCGTAGTGCTAGACGCCTCGCACAGCCGCATGCTAGCTGGCGGACCGCGCGCCGAGACCAAGGCGGTGGACAACAAGCGCGGCCGCGAGCGCGGCACCGTGGTGGCCAACGAGGACATGAGCGTCGACGACATGGTGCGGGAGGAGCGGCGGACACGGGGTCAGACCGGGGGCGAGGGCATGCGGATGGCGGAACGGATCGCGCGCGACGGCAAGTTCGACACGGACCTCGATTACATGGACGAGAACGCCGAGCGGCTGGCCAAGCGGACGCACAAGACGGACGCGGCGCTCAAGGCGGTCGCTGTCGGCGAGTTCCAGCGCGTCAACAAGATCCTCGACTCGTGCCCGCTCTGCCACCACGAAGACCGCGAGCCGCCACGCGACCAGCCGATCGCGCCCGTGGTGTCGCTGGCCACGCGCGTCTACCTCACGCTCGCGCCCGAGCCCGAGCTCAACGGGGCCGAGGGCGGGGCCGTCATCGTGCCGCTCAGCCACCGACAGAACCTACTCGAGTGCGACGACGACGAGTGGGAAGAGATGCGGAACTTTATGAAGTCGCTCACGCGCCTCTACCACGAGCAGGGGCGCGAGGCGCTCTTCTACGAGAACGCGGCGGCGCCCCGGCGGCGCGCGCACGCGGCTATGGTGGCGGTGCCGATCCCCTACGACCAGGGCGACACGGCCCCGGCCTTCTTCCGCGAGGCCATGCTATCGACCGAGGAGGAGTGGTCGCAGCACAAGAAGTACATCGACACGGGCAAGAAGGCGCGCGAGGGCCTGGGCCGCGCGGCGTTCCGCAAGAGCATCGCCAAGGAGGCGCCCTACTTCCACGTCTGGTTCAACCTCGACGGCGGGCTGGGTCACGTGGTCGAGGACGAGACCAGGTGGCCGCGCGGCGACCTGTTCGCCCGCGAAATCATCGGCGGCATGCTGGACTCGGACATCGATGTCATCAAGAAGCATGGGCGCTGGACCAAGCAGGACAACCGAGTCGACGACTTCAAGAAGCGGTGGCGCAAGTTTGATTGGACTAGAGTGTTGGCTGAAGAACAGTAGAACTGGTGCCAACATTCGAGGTATTTTGGTATGCTTCGTGGGAACCGGCGGCCATGGCGAGTAATCCGTAAAAAGGCACTTTTGCCACCAGCTTAGATACTGCAAAACCCCGGTGTGATGGCCGGGCTCTCTATCCATTATCGAGACGTGCAGCTATGCCACCACCAGTAAAGATTAATGACATTTCCTGGATATGTTTACATCTTTCTCCCGACCTGTGCTGTGAGTCCTATCGCCCTGTTTCATGAGCAATTTCACGAATCCATCGTACTTGGCCGTCCAAGCCGGGTGTGAGCGTGATACTCGTGTGACCCTAGTACGAATCATGGCCTTCATTGGGACGCAGCCCGCCATCCCACACCAGCGTCGAATCCCAGGTCCCCGTTCCGTCCCGCGCGGATTCTCACTTTGCCGGCGGGGGCGCTGCGGCGGCGGCGGCGGCCTCGCCAAAGACGGGCGGGCTCTTTGCGTACCTGGCGACGTAGCTCTTCGCGTTCTTCTCGAACTCCTTGCGGTTGTTCCTGTACTCGTCCGCGATGCGGGCCTCGAGCGGGTCGTCGGGCTGGGGCTCGACGAGCAGGGCGCGGACGGCCTCGAGGACTCCGAGCAGCTTGCTCGCGGGCTTCCAGTTCTCGGGCTTGAGGGCCGAGAGGCAGATGCTGCCGGCGGCGTCGTTGGTCACGTTCGGGTGGTAGATGCGCGTGGCGAAGGTGACGAGCGGCGGCTTGAACGGGTAGTCGGACGGCAGCGTCACGACGAGCCCGAACTGCCCGCCCGCGTAGGCCGACGCCGTCGGCCCTTGCAGCGTCACGTGCCACAGGAACAGGTCCGACTCGGACGGCACCGCGATGTCCATGCCGGCCGGCGGGCTGGCCATGCACTCGGCCAGCTCCTGGTGCGCGCGCGCGTGTGAGAGGGTCAGCGCGGGAAGAGGTGGGTTGCGCCGTGTAGGTATGTATGTAGGTAGCTTGCCTTTGTGACCCTCTTGATCGAGGCCATGGTGACTGCCCCAGCGTCGCGAGACTTGTGGTTGAGGAAGCGATGGTGTGATGATGGAAGGCAGAAACGGATCGAGTACGGTACTAAACCGAATGTAGGTGGCTTCTGACTTTTATAACACGAGACTGTTTGGTCTCGATGTTGGGCAGTAAGTAAACCGCTGTGGTTGGCCCTTCTGCGCCCAAACTGGCATGCCAATATACAAACACCAGACCTCGGCTATCGCGGGGGGGTTTGTATGACACGGATGGAAACCTGTAATGTTTTGCCCAGACCAAGTCCGAATCTGTTTGCTTCTTTCTTGTCTCTTTTTCCAGGCACGGTCATCACTTGAGAATAGTGAGGAGATGTTTGTCAAGCTCAAAGGTATGCCGAGCAGGCGAATCTGGGACTCACTCCTGCTTCCCAGCCCGGTGATGACTGATGCGGGGCACTGCTGCAGCCAACAGGGTCCTCTCTCAGACGTCAGATGGGCCAAAATACCCCGACCAAAAAAACCCTTGTGGCTGCCCGGCTTCCCTGCAGCGGGGCTCAGCGGAAAGCACAGACGGCAGCAAGCCGCTCACGCCCAGGGGGTGTTGGGATTGATTTGCATGCGCCAGCGATGGATGCTTAACCCCTCCTCCTCCCTCGCTGGACTTGCACCGCGCCCCTGAATCGAGCCCCGAAACAGACTCGTCTCAGCCGCATTTGCCAGCAGCGCGAGTCCTTTCTGTCGTCTGCTCTTATCCTGTCCACCCAACCGAGTCCGCCATTGCTCCCCCGCCTGGCCTCCACGATATGTCGGGCTGCTAGAGACACCCACAATTTTTTGAGCCTCCTCCGCCTTCTTCAATCCGCCCCATCCAGAACCGCACGCCCCGAGCTGTGTGTCCCATCCCTCCTTCCCCCCTCCACGCCATCAGCAGCCCAACAAACCCGACGCGGGCAAACGGTCCCCCTCGGGCCCTCCCACCACCGCCTTCTCACGCGGGCGACAACGAGGGTGCCGAGAAAGCAAACCCACTCCCGCCCGCCACGATGAACCGCGAGGTCAAGGTCGACACGCCCGAGATCCTCGAGGCCTACGAGCGCGTGCGGTCCGACAAGGACGAGACCAACTGGCTGCTGCTGTCCAACGCCTCGGGCAAGGACAAGGAGCTGACGCTGACGGCGACGGGGTCGGGCGGGCTCGACGAGCTGACCTCGCGCTTCGACGAGGGCCAGGGCCAGTTCGGCTACGTGCGCGTCGAGTACGCAAACGACAGCGAGAGCACCCGCGTCAAGTTCGTGCTCGTCGTCTGGATCGGCCGCGAGGTCAGGGGCATGCGCATGCGCGGCGTCATCAACGAGACCAACGAGGTCAAGCGCGTCCTGAGCCACTTCAGCTTCGACATCAAGACGGACGACAAGGCCGAGCTCAAGACGGCTGACGTCGTCCAGAAGCTGAGGCGCGCCGGCGGCGCCGACTACAACGGCGGCCGCGGCTAGCCCTGGGTTGGAAGGCAAGCTCCCTCGTGGTGGGGAACACGAAAAGAAAGAAAAGAAAAAAAGAGCTCCCTTAACCGATTTGGGTAGACAAAGCGGCGGGGGGAGGCGGGGAGGAAGATCCAGCGCGACGTTAGAAGGTCCTTTGAATTTTGGGGTTCTTTAGCCAGCAAGTAAAAAAAATGGTATTCAGCACGTAAATAGTGAGAGGTTACAGTACAGCAGAGTAACCCATCTTACAAATTAAATTTAACAACACATTTATACATATGCTTTAAAACGCGATAACCGCCTATAAGCCCTGCAATTAGTAAAGTTTTTCGTGCGTTTTAACCTAAAACAATGCCGGTACAACAATGACGCTTGCATCACAACCAAACATTACATTAACACAACGGGAATGGTAACGTCTCCCCAACCCACAGGCTTGTCGGACGAGGGCATGTACCGCTCCTTTAAGGAACTCGGCGGCGGCATCTAGCATGAGATGGTGCAGCTTCCCCTGACCGAGCCCAAGGTCTCGTCGGCCGAGGCGTCCGTCTGGGACCTAGGGCAGTGGGAGTTCAACTGGGTGGCGTGGGCACGGGCAGCACGAAGGGGAGCCGGCCAACCCGGAGTATGTTACGTATGGATATTTGAGCTATGAGGATAGGGCCGTACGCAACGGAGACCAAGGAGGACGGCAGCTGGGAGGAAAACTCGGACACGGAGTTCCTCATCCGATACTGCGGGCAGGATTAACCGCTCGAGAAGATAGGGGGCAGAAGCTTGTGGTCACGCCGGCTACGGGCGGTCACTTCGTCACGGTGCATAACTACGTCAGCGGTAAGCCGGAGCTTTCACAAAAGTGAAGTCGAAGCGGGCCTTGGCTAACGAATGGAGAATCAACTGCTGGGTGCCTGGTCATGGGCCTGCGTTCCGAGACCTTGTTTGCCAAGACGGCTGCCAAGCCTCAGCCCTATCTTGAAGGGAAAATGCTCCAGAACTCACCATCCTGCTCCACAATTCAACGGTAGCGAGCCGCACGCGCTATCCTTATGAATGCAATAATCTTGGGATTATCTAGGCATCGTCCGAAAGGGTCGCTCGCTCAGGCTGAGTGCCAGTATTCTACATGGGAATGTCAAAAGAAAACAGGCGAAAAATGCAGGAGAAGGAGAAAACAATGCCGTCCTGTGCCGAACACCGTTCTGGGTGTCGCATGTGGTGCCTCGCCTGACCTCTTTTAAACTCCGAAAGCAACGACAAACAAAACCCATCTCGACAATGTCCGACCCAGAACACCTAGAACCTTATAGCCCCGTAAACCGGCCATGATATCGAAACAATTACAGCGTCCTTTGGCGACAGAGGGAAAAAGCAAGGAGTGTGTAGAGTCACATCGAGTCAGTCAATGTATGATCAAAGATCTTCATCCTCCTCTTCGTCCACCTCGTCCTCGGCGTTATTAGTCACGTCGTCGTGACCCTCCTCTTCTCCCTCTTCTTCTGCATCTTCGAGCTCCTCGTCTTCATCTTCGTCGTCTTCGGTATCCTCGCCCAGATCTTCCTCTGGACCCTCATCCTCATCACCCTCACCCTCTTCCTCGATTTCGCGCTCGTCTTCATCCATCGGGCTGGCCGGGTCCTCGCTCTCGCTAGTGGCAATCGGTCCAGGCTCTAGACTTCGGTGTAGGTTCGGGAACATGAGGCTTGGAGGCATGTTGATCTCGTAGTCGTCGGGCACGTCGCTGAGATCGCTCTCGTCGTCGGCCGAGTCGTGCAGGCTGCCACGCGGGCTGCTAGACCGCTCGCTACCACCATCTGCGCCCACGTCGTCCTCGCCCGTGACCATGCTGATGTCCGCCCCGATGGTCTCATCGACGGCCTCTTCGTCATCATCACCATCCTTCATCTCCACGTCGCCACCGCCATCGCCATCGCCGGCGTTCTCATGATCCGTGACGTCGTTTTGCTCCTCATCCTCGTCGTCGTCCTGTGCCGTCGCGTCTGGATTCGGCGTCGCCCGGCTATGCCTGCCGCTCGACGTCGAGCCGACTCTCGACTTGCGCCCGCCATCGCCGCGGGACGACACGCTGACTGCGGATTTGGGCGGCGGCTCCAGCGCACGCTGCACCGCCTGTTCGGCCTTGCGAAGAATGTCCGGCCGTCGCACACCAGCAGCCCTCCTTGGGCGGGCAGTGTGCTCGCCTCCAATCGTAGACCTGTCTGCCCGATCTGGGACCTCGGATCCCGCCCTGCTGCTGTTACGAGTATCGAGAGCGATCAGGAAGCCGTCAAGTCCCGAGGGCCGCGGGCCGTCCATCTCCTCCTCGGCGTTCTTCTCGGCCGCCTCCTTCGTCTTCTGTTGCCGCTCCTCGATTATCTGTGCCGGCGGTTGGCCAGGAAGGTCGGGGGCGATCTCGGTGTAGAGGCGGCTGTAGCAGTCGCTGATGAGGTCGTCAATCGGAGCTGCCTTGGTCAGGTTCGTATTCAGCTTCTTGAGCTCGATTGCCTCCTTCATCGCATCGAAAGCCGCGTGCTGCGCGGTCGCTTTGCCGGCCCATTCCGAGATGCGCTCTCCCATGATCTCAAACTCCTCCATGCTGGTGCTCTTAAACGTCTCCTCAGTCGTCTCGGTAATCTGATACGCCTGCCTGATCTGCCCGACATAGGCGAGCACGCAACTCTGCCACAGCTCATTAAAGTGGTAGAAGTCGACGCCTTTCTTGCGGATCCGGCGCAGCAGCGCCTCCATGTTGACCCGATCGTTCATGACAAGAAGCAGGCGCGTCATGAAGCGCACGTACTGCTCAGTGTAGACATGGTGGCGTCCAGGCCTTTCGGCATCGCACTTCCAGACGTTCATCACCATGGTCTTGGTGAACATGGACTCGCGCAGGACCGAGAAGGCGGCCTTGGCTTGCATCAGAGTTCCGCCGTTAGCATCCGTCTCGCTCTGCGCCCCGGAAGACTCGTCGGCATCGAATAGGATCCTTGCATGTCGAATGATCATGCGGTGCTGCCAGTTCGACTTGTCCTTATCACGAAGTTGGCGGAGGTACTTGATGATGAACTCATCCCAGTCTTCGGCGTCGTCCGAGTCGCCAATGAGTATTTCCTCGCCGCGTCGCAGAGCGTGCGGCTGTCTTTGCAGGATGTTGGCAGCCTCCTGCGCAGTCGTGTCGCCGCGGGCGACGAGCTTGTACAGAATGGTGAGCAGCTTGTAGTGTGGCTCCAGAATAGGATCCTGACCATGTCGTGGCTTTGGCAGCAGTGAAACCACCTCCACACTCTTTTCAAGGGACTGAACAAGATCCTCCTTTGTCGGCTTGGTGAGCCTGATCTTTTCCTGCAAGTCGTCATCGGGGGTCTGGTACATTTTCCAGAGACACTTGGAGTACATGTACGGGCTCCTGTTCTGCTGTTAGTCTTTGTTGACTTTGTCCCTACGGGGAAGCATCGGTGATCAGTGGTTGGAGGCGAGTTCGCACTTACTTCCAGTCCTTCGGCCGACATTTGGCGGCCTTCCTGAAAAGGTTCGCCGCAAACTTCCAGACCTGGTACGCTGTCATTTCCATGTGAATGATCTTTTTGTAGGTTCCGACAGGGTGTTCAATAAAAAACCTCTCGAGCTCGGCATGCTTGAAAGGTTCCATGCCGAAAGGCTCTCGGCTGGAGGCATACATGCGCATGCCAAAGTTGTAGTACAGATCAAAGAGTGCTTCAGTGTCATTCTCGGAAAGGACCCTTGACATCGAACACGAGTGAGACAGCGCGAGGCTGTAGCAGTGGATGGAGCTTCTCTGGAACTTAAGCAGCTCGGCCCGATCCTTATTGATCTTGTCGGCCGTCCAGAGGACAGCCTCGTCAAGTTCGTAGTCGAAACACTCGGCCAGCCGCAGCCACGCGTCCCAGCGATCTGGCGTGAACTGGATCTGGTTTCGCAAAAAGGCCTGCCCAATGCGAAGGTCGTCGGTCGCTCCGGGGGTCTGTCGCCTGTTCAGATCCACCTGTTTGAACTTGCTGAAGGCAATCATACCCAGCAAGAAAAACCAGCCGTGCTTGGCAATGCCGGCCTCGGTCGTAGTGACTGTGACGGCATCAATGCTGACCGTACCCTTCCACGCCTGGTACAGGCGCAGTGGGTGGATGGGCTTCTTGAGATACTCAGTGAAGTTTCGCAGGTTGTGGATCATCTGAGGGGTCGACTTGGCCTGTCCGATGGCCTGTTGCACATGCTCGATGGTTGTCTTGAGCTCCGACTTCAGGAGGTCTTTCATCGACATGCGATTTGCCAGCGTGGTGATCTTTTCAACCAGGTTGATTGCAGCGCGCTTCTCGAGCTTCTCAGATGGGCAGCCGTGCTCTTCAACCTCCCACGACCCGACACCAAGCTTCAGTCCATGAAGGTCATATAGGACCTGGGCCAGGTAGTCCTCCCAGTGCTCGATGCCGTCCTGTTTGAGCAGCTCGACTCGCATCATCTTGAGGAAGATTTTGTTGGAGGCTTTGCAGGCCTTGCGCAGGCCCAGAACCTGATGAATAGCGCCGAGGAGTTCCGCCAGGTCGTTGGATGGATCTGTGAACAAAGCCTTGTTCTGCTGGATCCCGACCTTCATAACTGTGTACTGCAGACACCATGTCCTCGACTGAAATTCACGCAGTTTTTCCAAGAGGATCTTCCTGTTGCCGCTGTTGCTGTCGCCCGACTGCCTCAAGCCGACGCCGACTTCGTCGTCGTAAATTGCGCAGACGTGTAGGATGCAGCTGAGTTTAGCCAGGGCTGCCGATATGGATGTCAAATGCTGCTCGTCGATGACGTCGAAGGAGGTGTTATCGTTCAAGGCGAGTGTGAGAGCGTCGACCAGCAGTTCGTCCAGGTTTTTGAGCATAAGGACCAGAATGCCAGTGCGGGCCTCGGCTGAGGAGTCGACGTAGGTGTCCCGCGCGAAGTCGTTAACTATCATCTCGATGGCCTTGAGCAGACACGAGAACTTCTTGGTGGTGTATTTGATTGCTTGGTATGCGTCTCCAAGGCGCCTCCACAGGAACAGACGTAGTTCCGTGCCGCTCCCACGAAGAAACTTCCAGAGGTCCTTGAGGGTCTGTGTCGCGCACTCGGCCACTGGCACCGCATCTTGGCGAGGCTGATTGTCATCATGGCCCTCTCCATTCGCGGGCGAACCTCCGGCGGCGGCAGTGCTGGTAGGCACCATCACAGACTCCGAATTAAGCACCGGCTCAAGATTACTGATGACGGATACCGGGTCGTCCATTTCCTCCTGGAAGAGGCTCAAGAAGAAGTCCATTGTGGTGAGTTTGCTAATTTCCCTGTCCACAGCTTTCAGGGAAACCTCGGGCATGACCACGTTGTTTGGCAGGCGGATATCAACCTCCCCGACATCCTCGAGCACTTCCCGCATGGACTGCCAGGAGAGCAGGATGTGGTCAGGCATCGCAGAGTCCTCGAGAGTAGTTGAGAACACAACAGCCCAGCAGAAGCGGAGGGAAAGTCGGTCACGAGCTTCGCCCCCAAACTCTTGAAAGAGTTGAGACCGGAGATTCAGCCAGCGCCCTAGACGAAGCTTTGTGTCCTTCCGTGTGGCCTCATCCACAACGCTGCTGGGGTTGGTGATTCGCTCGTATACATCCAAGTGGAGCTCAAACAGCATCTGGACTAGGTGTTCAACGGGCAAGTGCTCTTTGGCTAGAGGCCCAGCCTTCTGCGCCTGAACCTGGATTTGATGGACTGTCCGTTGGTAGATCGCCTCGTCCATACGGCTGATGACCTGGACCACGGAGACCTTGCGTTGTTCAGACCACCTGGATTCGGAGTAGCTCTGACACAGTGATAATATCCACTCAAAGGCACAGTCTTGGATACTGAACCAGCCTTCGTTCATCCGCTTGACGAAAGCCTTGAGGCCGATCGTCTCGTCGGCCACCGGGATCTCTGACGTCGTCACAGACCCCGACTTTGTGTGCTCGAGAAACGCGTTCAATCCCAGTGCAGGAGTGTCCAGCTTGCCAGACACGAGCTTCGCGTTCTCCGCGCTGACCGTGTCGATGGTAGTCCAGAGATCCCGCGCAACCTGCGAGGTGATCTTGCTCAGCCGGTCTTCTGATGCGCAAGAATCCAGCATCTCCGATATCCGGTCAAAGGCGCCCTTATCGACGACCCCTAAGTTCTCCAGGATGTTCTTGGTCATCTGGAAAAGGTTCGCATCCGCGGCCTGAAATGGCTGAAGCTGGGTGGCGATAAGCCTCGTAGGGTCAATGGACTCCTCAGCCGCTGTTTCACGGCGACGGGCTCGCTTGGGACGCTTAGAGTCGCCATTCTCTTCCTCTCCTGGTTCTGGCAATCCTGCCTCCGACTGTGAACGCTTGCGTAATGGCGGAGCGATGGGGCCTGAATCCTTTTGCGTCGAGTCTTTCGCGGCCGGTGTGTTCTCGGCCTTTGTTTTGGAGCCAGCAGACTCGGCCGTCTTGGGAGTGTCGGACTCGTGGTTGCTGACAGGAGCGTTGGCGGATTCTTCCTGGACCTGCGCCTCGACCTGGTCCTGGAGCTGGCTGTCCACCTCCATCTGAACGAATCGATCCTCCTCGGGAAGCTCGGGCATTTGAATCGTGATGGCTTGCCCAGAAATCCCTTTCTCCATAGCCATGGCAACTAGAGCTTTTCCAAGCTCAGTCCAGGAAGCAATTTTTAAATCAAGCACTTGCCGGGGCTCTGTGTCGTTTGTTGATGACTCGGCGGGGCCAAGCGCCTTTAAGGGATTCGGGAGATATGGCAAGGGATCCAGGTAGCGCTTCAGAACAGCAGCCATTTCGCCCTTGAGGTAAGGTCCCATGATGGGGTGCGACAGGGCCATCTCGTCGCCAAGGACCTTGAGCTGGTTCTTGAGTTGCTCGCCGGCGTAGCCTTCGGCTAGAGAGGGCGGCTCGACATTCACCACGGCGGGGTCATCGTCGAGTTCGATGGCAGCCTCCAAACAGTAGCGGCTCAGCCGGGCGCTCTTCAGGAAAGCAGAGACGCGCGCCACTCTCCTCCACATCTCAGCATCCGATGGGTCGCGGTCCAGAGCGGCATTGAAGTCGCCGAGCACATCCAGGGCCTCACTCTGGGTTTCCTCTTGCGCGAAAACAGCGCGAGAAGCCTCTGGGCCACCGGCCGTTCTGGCTTTGTGCCGGATACGATCGAGTCTGAAGTGGCCATGATTCTTGTATGCCAGGTAGTAGCCTTGGAGTAAACTACTCCCCAAGTCGCCATCAGGTCCGGCAATATCAAGGGTGGGGATAAAGGCTGTACCCGGCGGCAGGAGAGGCGTCTGGGAGCCGTGTGCGCGCTCGTACTCTGTGGTGGCCTCGGGGAACTTGAAGATGGCCGAATCGAACAAGGACCGGTACGCGGCGGCGGCGTCATCGTAGAACTTGGGCCCTTGAGCATGGAGCTTGAGGGCTTGTTGGAATAGTTTCAACGAATCGTCGATCTGGATTTGCCGTGTGTTGTCAAACTCCTCGGCAAGGACATTCTCCTCGCGGTCGTCGTTTATCGAGGTGAAGGCAGGCTGAGCAGCATATTCCCCGTCAGTCAAGTCATGGCGAGGAGCTCAGATCGGGAGCGCAAGGATGTGGCCAAGGTACGCACCATTTTGGCGGCTCTAGAAATAAGAGCCTATGCCAATCACCGCCGCCTTCATGGGCGATTGCAGTTTGGGGTGAGCGACAACTTGACGAGTTGCAAAATGCCGCTTCAATATCCGTTGCTTGCTTTGGTGATGTCGAGTCGCGAGCAGGTTGACGCGACGAACAAATTAATTGGGGTACTTACAGCACCGTTGTCGCGGTGCTCCACCACCTACGTAGTGCCTACGGCTGTGGGTGTCAAGCGAGGTCAGGGACTGGGGGCTGCTTCATTGGGCGTTCTGGAACAGATGACGGGATCGCCTGCAGGTGCGCGAACCGCACTGTCTTTTTGTGGTACTGATTGCCCTGGTCTGTCCAGGATCACAAACACTAGTGCGGTGGAGCAAGATACATTTTCTTCCTTAGAAAACCAAGTCAAACTGATGTACCACCAAGATCCACCGCACTAGTGTTTGTGATCCTGGACACCTGTTACTGTGCTTGTTGCTCCACCTCATATGAGAATTTCAGATGGTCTGTGCGCCTTGGTGCATGAATGAGATGCTGGTTTTCAAGGTGGGAGCAAGCTGAAGATTCGCTGCGCTGGCACCAAACGCCATCGCCGTTTGATTCCAAAACGACCAACGGCACCGAGGCATATAGCCTCGCCTGGCACGTATCCTCACTCGAATCCCGCACTCGGCGCCCGTCGCATCACTTGGATACATACCTCCAAGACGACTCTTGTCGCCTCGCGACAGACTTTGGCCGTTGCCAGCCACGCCTCGCCGTGGGGCAGCTAGGCCGAGCAATTCAGCCGTGAGCGTTGAGCACACTCAGCGCGGCTCAAACCGCCACCATGGTTGCGCCAGCTGTTCCAGAGTCCGTCTCTAGCCCCCCAACGCCACCAATCACCACTGCCCAGACTGACCACCTCTCAGAATCACCGAGGAGGTGCTGCATGAGGCAATTGACACCCGTACAGACCAGTTGATCGCACTGCGCGAGCTGGGCCCCCCTGATCTGGTTCACCTTACCAAGCAGCAGAAGGGCAACACTGCCAAACACGTACGCGTACCCCGCTACCTCCGGGCCCCGCGACCGACTTCTCGGTGCTGACATGCCACTCTGCGCGTCTACAGTTCGGCGTATACCACCATGTCACCGGCGTTGACGCGTCATCTTCGGCCAGCCTGGCGGCGTACATCAACACGCTCACCTACAAGGATCACGGCCAGGCAGCGACGGCCAAGATAGTGCAGGGCGTTTACTGGTCAGTGTACCCCTCGAGTCGGCGCGATAGGCCTGCCCCTGCCTTCTGGGAACCACATGCTGACCTTTCTTTATCGCGACCGGCAGCTGCTACAATGCTCTCTCCCGCCTTGATATGCGCGTCCACGTCACCATCCCCGGTTCGGTCGAAAGTTACTGTGTGGATGAGAGAGGCGAGAAGAAGAAGGCGACGGATGATCTGTGGCTGGAGACATATCTGTGCAGCGTGCTTCGAGCCTACTCGTATGCGGACGATGGGAGCGGAGAAACCATCCGCAAAATTATGGGTGTGCGGAGATTCAACCCCGTTACCAACACTGAAACCGAGCACCGTTTTCTCAGCGCCGCCGAGCAGCTTTTCTTCAGAGGTCAGCTTAGCCCGGGGATCTTGAACCCTCATCAAAGCTAAGCCGAGTTGCTGACAGTGATTTACAGGATGGCAACTGGGATCCGACTCGACTGTGCAGGTTCCCAACATTGTCTCAAATCATCTAGTCAGCGGGCTTCTCAAGTACTTCCAGACCACAGGAAGGTTCGTGTCGGGCATCAACCTGTTTGAGAAGCTTCGATCGCAGAATGTCGAGGTCGCCTCCCTGCTCGCCAAGGTTCTGTTCGAGGGACACGAGGAAGTGCGGGGCGTCCGCATTCTGCACCAGGCTCTTCAAGAGTCACCCATGGACTACGTCATGCTTGACACCCAGGCCGAATTTCTCCTCAAAAAGGCAAAGCTGGCGACGGCTCCCGAGCAGAAAGAAGTCAGACTCCGGATGGCCCTGGGCTGTGCAGACAGGAGCACGATCGCAGCGCCTAGCGAATTCGGAACATGGGCTCGACTGGCCGAGGTCTATGTCGCCATGGAAGACTGGGAGAATGCGTTGACGATTCTCAACTCGTGCCCTATGTTCACCTACCAGGACAAGGATGCCCCACTCATGCCGGAGCCCAAGGACGTTTACTTACCGACACTAGTGGAGACGAGGCTAGATGAAATTGACAGCGAGCCCGAAGGGAGGTACAACGAGCAGGTGGACCCCAGCTATGCGAGTTTGCGTGCCGCCCAGTATCGCGGTACGTTCAAGCAGGCCTACAAGGTCTTGACCGAGATGACGGCCAAGATTGGATGGGACCAGCTCCTGAAGATCCGTAGCACCGTCTTTGTGATGGAGGATGAGTACAGGACAGAGAAGCAGGAGGGCAGCGCATCTGCTCAGCGCAACGCCAGCATCGATGGCATCAGAGGCTCTCCTCAGCAGCCGGCCAACGGCGACCCTGCCCCGGAAGAGGAGAAGGAGAAGGAGAAGGCCAAGGATGAGTCGGATACCGACTCAGACACCGACTCCAAGATAGAGGGAGAGACGGGCAACAATTTGACCGCCAACGGACAAGGCCTGGAGAGACCCAGCAGCACAGCTGACCCGTCCGAGGTCAAGAGCGACCAGGAGAATGTAAGCATTGTCTATGACACCCCCTTTTCCCTCTCCCCCTTTTGCCTTGCCTTGACTGACTGGCCCATCTTTACAGGGCGTTGTGCCGGAGGATCACTCGCGCCTGAACAACAAGCGACTTTGCGAGAGGTGGCTCGATAGCCTGTTCATGGTTCTGTATGAAGACCTTCGCATGTATACCATCTGGCGTACGCAGAAAGCGCAATACCGTGCTCAGCAAATGCAGTTCAACAAGTCGGCCGACGAGTGGGAGATTCTGGGGGCGCTGGCAGAGCGTCTCCACCACCAGGAGGAGGCAGTTGAGGCGTACAGAGCCTGCCTGAGCCAACGATTCAGCCCCAAGGCACTCTCAGGAATCCTGCGCGCCTTTGAAAACAGCAAGCCCAACAGCACGCGTGAGACGGTGGCGGCTGTCATCCGTCTGGTTACGTGGCAGTACCGCTGGTACTCGGAGTTTTCGCCCGAGCTGTTGCACACTATTCGGACTCTTATTGAGGACGAGGGCGCAGTGAAGGTCCGGAGCATCATTCAGGCCACAAACTTGCCGCAGAACGTCCTCGACCTGACGCATCACTACGCCGCGCTCTGTGCGACTTTCCGGAGCAGCGGTACGGACGGTTAATACTGGGGATTGAGAGGTCTTGTTATCTCTGAGAGATGACGTGGGAGCCCTCGCAACATGGTGACCATCTAAATACCTAGTAGGTAGTCATAGGCTAGGCCTAGTTGGTAGATTTTCTGGGCAGGCTTTGCTCATGAGAACATAATAATCATCAAACAGCGATCAGCACTTGATTTCTATTTCACCTCCTTTGCCCTTGCTACTCGACAATGAAGACTTATAAGCTCACCATATGTGGTTTGCACACCCTGGCTCATCCGTCATCTGCCACTACGTTACAGTCGGGGTTATAAACGTGTTTTCTTAAAAATGCTATTGCGTCGTTGGCCCCTTGGGGCGCGTTGAACCAATGACCTCCATGAGGGTACTCTCGCGATTCAACCACGGCCCCAAACTGCGTTAGGATCTCACACATGCGGCGTCCGTGTTCGATGGTGATGAGCTCGTCGTCGAGGCAGTGCTCGAGCAGGACGGGCGTCCCGCGCACGACAGCGTCGCCGCCCGGGACCCCGTCCTCGAGCGCGAGCGCGGCGCGCATGTCGGCGAGCGACGACGACCTGGCGGCGAAGGGGCAGCGGCAGGCCAGGCCCACCAAGGCGGCCAGGCGGCCGCCGCCCGACGGCGGCACGTCGAGGTTGAAGAGCACGTGGGCGGCCGCGGCGCCGCCCATGCTGATGCCGGCCAGCACGACGCGGTCCCAGCGCCCGCCCAGGCGCGCCGCCTCGGCCGCCAGCACGCCGCGGAGGCGGGGCACCTGCTCCCGCAGCCCCTCGGCCTGCAAGCCCTCGCGGTCCCCGAAGTCGGCGCCGTTCCACACGTCGAACCACTGCGGCCAGGACACTGTGGCGGTTATGGGGGAGGTGGTGGCGGCAGCGGCGGCGGTGGCTGCGGCGAGGGTCCGCATTGGCGCCTGCGGAAAGACCCAGCGGAAGGTCGGGAAGGCGCGGGCGAGATTGTGGCCGTCGGAATTGGTCCAGAGCCTCAGGGCGCGCACGAGGGCCCATACGTTGCCGCCCCTGCCGTGGAGGAAGACGGCGGTGTGGGTGTGTGGGTGTGCGGTCGGCGGGATAAAGAATGGCGGTAGCTGGTCCATGGTTTGTAGTCCCCTTGGTCCTGCGTTTCTCTTTGTCGATGTATTGATGTTCCCAGCTAGGCGCGCTGAATGTAGAATGTTGAGCGGCCCGACCATGATGAAGAAGCATCTTTACATTCCGTGTATTTGCCATATCTTAGGCGGCTAAGCTGTATACATATGCTACGCCCGGCTAATAGCAAGGTGCCAGGTTTGCTGGCAAGCTATATACCCGGCGGGCCCCTTCCTTCCGTTCATTCGCTGATAAAGGGGCAATCGATATTCTGATGGCTCTGTTAGTCTCAGCCTAGATGTGATGGTACAAGATGAGGAAATAGTTTGTTGGGAGGAATAACAATGGCGGCTTCAGACGTTAGTCGATTCAGACTGTCGAAGTCTGAATACAGTTTGTACCTTATCAAGAGCTAAGTGACGTGGAAGCAGGATATTCAAGTATTAAATCTCGGATATCTCCCTCGGGCAATACAACATTCTTCGGCTTCCTTTACCGCTCGAGTGGTGAAAAGTTGAAGACTTTGTTCTCCATGTTCTCCGTCAGTCAATCATGAACAGATAATAATTGTGTCAGACCCTGCGGATTTTTCTATCCAAAAGAAATCGTTTAACACAACCTGTATCGGCGCCAAACCCGAAGCTCCAACCTCTATCAACATCAACACGGGACGACAAGTGAAGGAGGGCGAGCAGCGCTATCTTGCACCAAAAGAAAAGCAAGAGAAACAGACAGTAATGATACAGACTAGCAAGACACAAAGGGAGGTAACAAAGTGCCAAGGAAATATAATCTTCTCAAAGACCCCGTTTTGATAATCCAGCGGCGATCTTCTCGTAGACGGTGAAGATGATGCCGCCGCTAAAGATCAGCCTGCCCAGGCGCATGGCGCTGCCGGCCCAGAAGCCCCTGGCGCCGCCCTCCCTCAGCACGCTCCTGAAGGCCTCGGCGGTGCTGGCGCCCTTGGCGCTCTGCGCCCGCGTCTTGATGGTGTCGAACGGCTGCGTGACGTAGACGGTGATGACGCCCGCGGTGGCGCCCGTGGCAAAGGTCACGGCGGTGCTGTCGTTGGGCAGGCCGTAGGACTTTGAGAGCTCGCGCAGGGCGTTGTAGGAGCCCATGCGCGCCGCCGAGGTGGTGGACTGCTTGAGGGTCGACGAGGCGAGGCCCGAGTAGAGCCCGGCGATGCCGCGCTCGGCCAGGATGGTGCGCAGGGCGTGCGCCCCGGACGTGAAGCGCGGGGCTGCCGAGCGGGCGTCATCGATCCTGTGTTTGCCGTGGTTAGCGTGTTGCGCCAAGGTGGCCATGTCTCTGTCTGCTATCTCCTGCCAGGCCGGAGTGAGGCCTTGGGAGTAGATGATGAGCATGTAGGGACAACGGCCGTGACTTACAAGGCGGTCTTGATGCGCTCCGTAGGGGTCACAGCGACTAGTGACTCGACGGCGCCGGCGACCATACCCGCCAGGATTCCACGGCCGGTGGTAAGCTTGCCATTATCGTCGACGAGGATGTTCTTAATGGTGTCATAGGACATGAAGCGCACACTCGCTTTGAGAGTGGCACCCTGGACGGCAGTTCATGTTAGTGCATCCTTACTGCTAGCGGCGGCCAGGCGTGACTTGCACGTGCCGTCTGGATGACTGAGATGGATGGGGTATCGAACAACTTACTGCTGCCAGAGTCGAGCAGCCTGTGTAAACAGCGCCCAGCCCCTCCTGCCTAGCCACGGTGGTGATGATGGAGAAGGGGTTGGCTGAACGCTCGGCCTTTGACAGGAGTTGGCCTCTTGTCTTGGCAAACTCAAAGGGATACTGATGTAGAAGGGTGTTAGTGCGTTCTCTACCATGCCAGGGGCTTCTTGGGCTGGTTTCTTACTGTCGTGAACGCCTCGACGGCACCGGCCGTCCCTCCAGCCATCAGGGACACGATGGTTGATACCTTGGCCTTGGGTTTTGCCGGAACGGCGTCGATACTTGGGGTTGGTTTGGCCAGCGGCGCCAGCGCGTGTGTGCTTGGCGCCATAGCTGTGGTGCTTGCACTCATCTTTGCTTTGGTGTTTAGTTTTACCTTTTCGGGAGGCAAGCCAACATAGGTTTACGTGACCTAAAAAGGTGTGTTGAATATCCTGATTTTCTTTTCTTTTTCTTTTTGCCCTTTCTTGTCCTCTCCTTCTTTCACTTGGCGACTTATAATATTACTTTCTCCTACCAAAAGCGCCTCTTCCTCTAAGCATTACATGCCTGCCATGATATCAGGGTGCAACTCACTACAACAAGCAGGTCTGCAAGCGTAGAAATTACCCGCTCGACCAATTGCCAAGGCGGGAGAACGACCACCCGCCCATTCCCGCGGGAACATGAAAGCGGCCAAAGCTGGGATTGTGGGGCAGGCTGTCCCCGTACCGACCCCACAGTGGGCAGAGTCTGCCCCATAGCAAACATACCCCACGCGCTTTCCCGTGGGAAGTCTTCTCTCTGCCGTCTCGGACCTGCTATTACACGTGCTGCATTCTATCATGTCATGTCTTCGACCACGGCGAGGAGACGCAGGGCCGCGAGAGCCTGCCGCTTTTGCAGGTCGCGCAAGGCAAGTTGAACAAGGGCGACTCCACCGAGTGGGGG